GCTGCGAAGGCAGAGTTTCGGGAGTCGGTCCATGAAACTTCACGCTTCACGACAAATCTGCGCAGACCTTGGTCGGGGCGCTTGCGAGCAAGGCGTCTGACACAAAAGGGGTCAATGGGCAAGTCGGCCAGCGATGATTGGCATAGATTGACTGCCGGTAGGTCTGAGGAGCTAGATTTAAGATGTTGCAAAACCTCAAATCGGGCTCCGGTTGCTGTGATTGTTGGGGCCACTGCCGTGTCAAGCATGGACGGTGAATTGAGCTTTTCAGCTCCTTTCCTTGGGTCAGCGCGACCCTTTTTAAGGTCTCGGTATTCACGAACGCCCTCTTGGATAGCGTCTTGCAGGGGTCGGACGAGTTCTGCGTAGCGAGGGATGAATTGGGCATAGAACCCAAGGAGACCCATGAAGGACCATAGGTCACCAATAAATTTAGGTCGTGGCCAATCGACTATGGTTGCGACCTTGTCTGGATCGGTAGCGAGGCCCTGGGAAGAGGCAACGAAACCGAGGGCCATGAGCTGGTGAAAGAGCCATTGACACTTGTCGAGTCTTAGGGTGAGTTTGGCCCTGGAAAAGCGGTCGAGCCAGTCCGCGATGGCATCTAGGGCTTCCGCGGCTGTCTCCGCTCGTGTATGGATATCGTCGACGAAGTTGTTGATATTTCGCCATTTGGAGGGACCCAAGGTGTCGTCCATCACCCGACAGAAGTGCAAGGGGGCAGTCTTGGGTCCGAAGGGCATGAAAAGTGGTTCGTAGATGCCATTGTGGAGTCTGATCGCAAGCCATTTGCGTACCGACGTATCAGTGATGGCGATTTGGTAAAATCCTTTGTTTGCGTCACCTCCCGATATGTATCGGAATGGGACTGCGACGATCCAGTTCAGGATGTCGAGCATGATGGGAAAGGGATATGGATCCCAGGCCATGCAGTCGTTGGCTCGGCGATAGTCGAAGGCTACCCGCGGGGGTTTGTCTGCGTAGCGAATAATAACAGGATCACTGGCGAAGGTTACTTCGGTGGTTCGTTTCCACCTCTGAAGCCCCATCATGGTGTCTCGCTCCGTCTCGAGGGCTGTCCGCTCCAACGGAGAGTACGACCGTGGCCTCGAAAGGGGTGGCGGAGCCGAGATAAATCGAGGCGCATAAGGAATCTTGGTGTAGTTCCCTATGAGATGACCCTCATAGCTGAAGGCTTGATGGAAGTGTCGTAGAATGTTGATTAGGGCCCAGACCACGGGTTTGGGTCATTTGAGATCGACGTGGAAATGTTCCGCGTCTTTTAATTGGGCTTCGAAGGCCCCTGGAGCCTTCTCTGTAGAGTTGAGGTTCCATTTGTTCCGAAGTGTCTGCCATTCTTCTTCGGAAATGTTCTCTTCGGGGTCCGCGACCGAATTATGGGTCGCGGTGGACAGTTTGAGGCCTAACGGGGCCGTTGTGCTAGCTGCGGTGGCATCAAGAGGGTTTTCGATGAGGAAAGTTTGGGCTGCCACGCGCGTCTGTCCCGTGATTAACATGGTTAATCTAGACTTCTGAGCTTTGGCTTTGGTCAGCCGTGGCATTGACACATCCTTCATGAATTCACCCTGCTTGGTTTTGTATGGCGTGCCGCGCATGTGATCGGTATCCAGCTCATCCGTTATGGAGCAGGGGATAAGGATGTCTGGATTCTTGAGCGTCACCGCGAAACTGGGTAACGGGGGTTCCTGAACCAAGGTTTGGAGTTTCAAATGTCCCAAAACGTCGTTGGCTAGGATGATGAGAGGTTTCCCGTACGCGATGACCCGAAAGTAGGCGCGGAAAGTCAGGTATTCTCCGCCACGGCCTCTGAGGGAAGTTTCGAGGCATACTGTCTTGGTAGATGAGATACGTCCACCAATGCCGTTGAAAGCCATCGTTTCCGCATCCTGCAAATCGGTTTCGGAGAACAGAAGGCCTTGGTACATGTCGGAAATCAGAGACTCGCAGGCCCCTGTGTCTAGTACCACAGGTGCCCAGAGCTGCGCGATGACGGCTAGCGTCCAGCAAGGCTGCGTTTGGGTCTTAGTCTGGCTTTTGAGTACATCGCCTAAATCTACTGAGTAGAAGGCGTTGATAGAAGGCACCGCGATCTCGAAATGGGGCGCGATGTCGTTAATTGTTGCTTCCGTAGCCTTGATCACACTCTCAAAGTGTTCTCTAGTTTTGTCGTTTTGTGGTTTTGTTGTTTTATTCTGGCGAGCAACTTGTTCGATAGCCAGCATGACTATATGCGTCCGTTCGCTCTCTTCGTGTCTTTGGAGACGTGGATGGTCTTTAACGTGCCGAAATTTGGGGTTTCCGCGATGATAATAATAGTCTGAGCGAATGATATTGCCTGTCAGGAGAAATGCCACCAGTTGCAGGTTGGCGTACGCATCAAAGATAACAGGATCTTCAGAGCTCCACATCAAGAATTTCTCGCGCTCGTCGAGCTTTATCCAGGCAAGGAGAATCAAACGAGGGGTACCGTCTTCTCGGACCTTTCGCAGGATTCGATCCTTGTCAGCTTCGGCTGCGGCAGCGATGTAGAGGTGGTGGGAACTCCACGCGACTGCATAGGGGTCGTTCCCGAGGTGCCCGGCGCCTCGCTTCGGTTCTTTGGCAAAGAAGCTGAGCGCGCGGGGGTTGTTGCCCATCATCAGAGCCACTTGCGGGGTGCCCCAGATGATGGCTATGTTGTCCCAGACTCGGTCCCAGCCCTGCGTGGGCGTGCGGGGGTCCTCTTCCTTGGTCACCGTGACCTTGGAAAGAGGTGCGGTCATCAAAATTGTTGATTCCGAGTGCTTGGGTGAATGAAAGAACCCGATGGTGTGGAATCCTTGATTAGTGGCTTCCGTTCTTTCCAGTTCCGAAGCCGAAAAAAGAGTCTCGGTGGTAGCGGATGTCGAGTCCAGCTCCACTATGTACGCCTTCTTCGATTCCTGTTTGGGTTTCCAACCTGAGGGCATGGGTGCTCCATATGGTCCTTTCTTTCCATCTTCAGGATCTTTTCGGTTCGGGTTCTGCCAGCAGAAAACATTCCAATGCTTTTTCTGACAGAATTTGCAGGGTGCCGGTGGTTCCTTGTTGGGGTCCGGAACCATCTTCTGAGGACCATTGCGACCCTTTTCGGGGTTTCCGGTTTTATGCGGAGCCGTCTGCTTAGGGCCTTTGTCGGTTCTGGTCTTTTGTGACTTCTTCTGAGCTTCTGCAGCACCGCTGTAGCAAGGGTCTCGTTTTCTGGTGTCATCAGAGCCGAAATAAAGGCGCAGGAAGTCTTTTAATTTGGTCAGATTTGTGACGTTACAGGATTTGACCATGATTTGGATGTCGCTGGGCAATTGTTCGACTATTAGGTCGAAATGCTGGTCAGCGGGACATTCTATGTTTGCCCGGTCGCCATAAGCGAGGTGCCGGAGATGAGTTTTGTGGTCGATGAATGCGAGAAAGCTGCGAAATTCTTTGGGGTTCGCATGGCAGCGCACATATTCGGTTTTGCGCTTGGACTCGGTTAGGGGATCTCGGAACTCTCGAAGCAGTTCCTCTTTCCACCTTTTCCAGGTCCATGAGCGAGTTTCCTGGGCTTCCAGAGTGTAAAACCAAGCGTCAGCAGGGGTTTTCTCGGCTATCATGGCTGGTAGGAGCTGTACCATCCTGGCATCCAACGTTGCACTAATGTTTTGAAGAAGTTGGACTTTGTTAAGCCATTCTTCAACGTCTTGGTTTCTTCTGCCCGTAAACTCGGGTACGTCCTTTGCTTTCAAGGAATCGACCTTGGTGTCGCTGGCCCACAGGGCCGCTGGCACTTGGATTGGAGGCACCGCACCTGAAAAACTTGGTTCGGTACGCTCCCTTGGTGTGTCCGCCGTTTCCCACGGGGTTGCGGACCGTTCTCTTGTAGCTCGTGCTATGGGAGGTTGTTCAGGCAGCGGGCAATGCGCTAGGGCTTCTAAGGCTCGTGCGAGGCGCTCATCCGCCACTGTCTGACGTTCGGAAAGCCTATGAAGCTGTTCCATAAGGTTTTGAGTTGCCAACTGCGTTGCAGCAGTCGAGCGGGCAATGTCTTCTTTTAACGCTGCCACTTCAGAGGCCATCGTGGCCAAGTTAGGGGCTTCCGGTTCGACGGAAGTGGTCCCTGAACGCCTTGGGCGTGTTGCGGGAGGGACTTCGACGTCCTCCGCAGGACCCTGACTACGAGTCTGGATCACAGGTGAGCGGCCTCGCGTTGGTGAGCGTTCGACCGGCATCATTCTCGGTTTCGTGAAGTTCTGTCTCCGAAATGAGAGAAAAGGTTTCCGAGTAGCTACCTGAGCGGATCTCGGTTTGCGCAAGAGTTTCGGTACAACCGAATAAGGTTTTCAGCTGAATTTGAGAGGGGAAGGCGGTTCGTCGCGCTTCTCCACCATGTAGCGGATTTTTTGTTGGTAGACTACGGTAAAGATGACTTGGGTCTCCTAGCAGGTTATGTGGGTGGCCGTACTAGGAATCATAGTCTCCGAATCCTTTCTTTGGGCGTCGGTAGCGACTTGGGGGCGAGAGGCAAGGAGAGTCGGTTAGTTGTGAACCGAGCAGGATTTAGAGGCTTCGGTACGGGTGATCAGGCCGTTGAAGCGCTCTGTTAGGTTCCTGTTAACCTAAGATTGGAGTTGAGAAGCGAGTTATGGGGATTTTGTGTCACTACGGCTTCTGCCCCCAACTTATTTTATTGAATACATCCTTTTTATACAAGATTCTTGGATAAACTGTTAAACTAAACTAAACTAATGGGTGTCGCTGCACCGCAACTGATTTATTGGTGGCGGTACCGATCTCTTCCTTTTCCGCACTGGCTCGGGCCTCCACAGGTTGTACGAGGCACGCTGAAATCTAATGCGCCAATTGCCATTCTCCGAACCAGTTTTTTCGGTCGCGGTAACTCAATCGGTGGAGTTGGTCACGCGATTCGTGCTTCCCGCGTCCGATTTGGGCTTACTCGCGATCTCTCGAAGACGTCCTCGTCGTTACAAGGAGGCTATAAGAACTTTTCCAGTAATGTTTCCACCTGAGAAGATACTTTTAGAAACCCCTATTCCTCCTTTAACCTGTAGAGCCCCACTTGATATGGTTGTTGCCTCGGATGTATCATTAGCAAGAATTGTATTTACCAACAGATTGCTGGTAGGTGTGAGTAAATCTTGTTTCGATGTTTGCAGTGCTGATATGCTGGGTCCATAGTCAACAATGTTTAAAATACTTCGAACGGAAATATCATTCACAAGGGAAAATCCCGTTACATCATCCCCCATAAGAAACATGTTAGACATTGGACTCATCGCAGTGAGAGTAGAGAGTAAAGGAGAGGCATTTTGCTTCCCTGAGAGGTCGACATTCGTAATGCCTAGAATTGACTTCACCTCTTCAATGGTTTTTGTGGAGAACCCTGTAGCAGAACTTCCAACAATAAATGAATTCGCTGATATTGCAAGTCCACTGATAGAATCTAGGAGCGGACTCGATGTCTGTTTTGAAGCAATGGCTGTCCCTACGTAACTCTCGGTTGCAACTTTCAGATTATTGGAGTACAGACTCCCTCCACAGTAGAGATTCTTCAATATTCCAACACCTCCCTTTACTTGGAATGCACCTGTGATTGATGATGAAGCATCCGTGCTTGTATTTACAATGACATTCCCAGATGAGAGAATATCTAGTTGAGATGAACTATTTGTTACACCGAATCTCAGGTTCATATTCCATGCCCGCAGACAGACATTGTTAATCTGATCATTGAAGAAGGCTTGGCCATTCGAAGATGGGGAGAAGAATGTCATGTCACCAGTATTGACATTTCCACCTATGCTACCCCATCCAAAACCATACCCTGTTCCTTTCCCACTTGTTACCTTATTACCAACCCACAGAGTCTTCGATATTCCTACACCTCCTAATACCTGTAAAGCCCCTGTTGTTGCAGACGAGGAGTCTGTAGCAGTCAACACCTTAACTTCGTTCGAAATAGAAACAATCCGCAGACCTAATCCTAGACCAGATTTCCCTTGGATGTTCATGTCTCCACAATTGTTATGAAGAGTAGCGTTATTCGACGAGCCATCAGCAGTCCTTGTAGAAGAGTTGAGAAAAAGTAAGGCTGCATTTCCGCTATCATTGGAACAACCAATAGCAGCGTATGTGTTTATGCCAGATGAAATGTTTCTAGATTGCACCCAGTTTGGAGCATCCACAGAGGTGCTACCAATTACATTTCCTCCAGCATACAAGTCCTTGGCAACACCTAAACCACCACTTACTAGAAGTGCTCCTGTAGTCGAACTAGTCGATTGTGAGGTATTTGTTATCTGTGTAATACCGGTATTAGAAATCTTGAACACATAGCCAATGTTGTTATATGAAGAGTTGATTCCAAACCCGCCTGCTGGGTTAGAGCCATCGGCTGTTGAACCTGCAAATCGAATACCCCAAGTCACGTTTGATGAAGTATTTACCAGTGACATAAAGGTGGGATTGGTGCCATTTTGAACACTCAAATAACCATTTGCAGTAACAGAAGCAAGACTCAGATTTGTTGATGTTGTGATACTGGGTTGTTTCCCAGAAAGAAGTGTGTTCATGCTAGCATTTGTAGCAATATCAAGGATGCCTTTCACTTGACTGGAAGTAACATTCTCGAACGTAGTCCCAGCAGAAGAATAAAGCCAACTGTCTGGCTGCACCGTCATTGTGTACAGGCTATTAGTTGTAGTGTTCATAGGCTGCTTCGATGCGAGTGCAGTAGTGGGGGAATTGTTGTTATTAGTTACCATCATTGTCAATGAAGACAAGGATTGACTTATTGGAGCAGTGTTATCAATTACAAATTTTTGAGATGCAACTTCGAGACCTCCGATGTAAGCCATTCCACCGATATATGCATCAGTTGATACTCCTAGGCCTCCACTCACGACCGTATTACCTGATGGGTCAATTCGGAATACGTATCCTTTATCTTGGTATGACGAGTAAAAGCCTAATGCTCCAGAAATTAGGTTTCCATTCGATGAACCAGCCACATGGATATTCCATGTCCGTGCAGCACTAGTGTTTCCTAGTGTGATTGCTGAAGCATTGGTGTTTGAATTTTGTACCGTTAAACCGCTCAGGTTAAGCAAACTCGCAGGTGTAATCAGGGGCTGATATGCGCTGAGGATTTCATCTTTAGGTACAATCCAGAAAAAACCACCATTTCCACCCATCAAAAAAGTGCCATCAATCGGGGTCAGACTACTGATATTGTCGAGCAAAGGAGATAAGTTTTGCTTCGATGCTAATCCTGTTGTAACGAATGTTTCCGTTGCTACTTTCATATTGGTGGAGGCGTAGATATTACCACCAACGAATATGTCCTTTGCAATACCAACACCACCAGGACAAACTAAGGCACCCGTTGTTGAAGATGTTGATACTGTTGTGCTATCCAATGTAACGATTCCTGTGTTTGCCTGTATTGTTAATCCTTTAGCAGACTGGGCTTGAAGCCTAAGACTGCCTGCATCATTCCTTAATGTCATTGTCGAGGCTCCTCCATCCACTGTTCGCGAGGCACCATTCAAAAACATCACTCCAGAACCTCCTGAGGCCGTAAGATAAAGAATGCTGCATGCATTGGTTCCTAAAGAAAGGTTGGTTACAACCAGTGAATGTAGACTGCTCACAGAAGATGATCCGATAGTAAGGTCACCCCCTACAACACACGAACCATTTGTGTCCACTCTTAGACCTAGAGTAGGCATACTAGATGTCCTAGGATATATGAACATTGGTAAATCCTGAGCACCAAGCCATGTTGAAGCCCCGGGGTTGTATCCTAAGAATCCTGTTCCATTGAGCCTGAACCAGGTGCTTTTTGTTGAATCAAAACTGTTCGAAATAAAGACAGATGATTGTCCTGCTGATGAGGCGGTCATTTGAACTCTGCTTCCTGTAATTACTTTACCCGAGATATTGCTTCCAAAAGTAATATTATTCGAAGTTAAAGCCATTATCTGGCTTCCTACCCAAGGTTTGATAACTTTGGTGTCGTAATCTCTTAACATTGAGAGATTGATTGCTTGCTGCGGGTATTTGTATTTGATGGTGCAATAGCAACTCAGTACATCAAATAGTAATCGAGTGCAGCCTCCAATCGGGTCCGAAGCAATTGCGACATTGCTCCTGGTTTCAAGTGGTGGCATGAAGGTAACAGGGTCTATTGGTTCGTAAACAGGGTTTCCATCACCATCGAGTATAGGTTGGCCTTCCGCATCTTGTTGAACCTTATGTTTGCATGACCCTCCGAAAATCATTCCCCAAGGGAACGTTGAGACGATTGGGAGGATGGAGTTTACAGCCATAGGGACTGTCAAGGGTGGGGAGACCATCGCTGGAAAAGGTACGGTTGATAATGGAGTTGCTCCGGACAAAATAACCGTGTTGCCTGATGGAACATCCGTTTTTAACACTTCTGTGGTATCAGTCTGTTCAGTATTATTGGTATCCCTTTGTTTCAATAGTGGCGTAGGGTCAATGAGTGTAAAGTTGTAGAGTGGGTACGAACCTGTTATTATAAGGTTTGGACTGTTACTTATGAATTGTGGCGGAATCATGTTATACTGAATGGTATTACCAACAACGACCACACTTCCATATGAATTGGTCGAGCCGATGTAATTGCCTTTCAGAGTATCCCCCACTCGAAGAACTGTATTGCTTCCTGTAAGAGAACATGAAATCAAATCTCCCGAAACTTGCACTCCATTGATGCCCTTGAGGTCAGTGGAGAGGATGTTAGCAACTTTCTTCAAGCCTATACCCGATGTAATGTTGCAGGTGATAACTCCTCCGGCTATTGTCAGGTCGGGTTCCTCGGCTATCAAACTCAACTGGATGTTATTGCCAACACAAACAAGGCCTTCGCTAGCCATTAATACTTCCTTTATCGTATCTTTCCTGACCATCTGCAAAGCGCCTTGGGTTTTCAGACTCAATTGAAGGTCATTCTGTACTCTCTCGATACCATTGCTGCAAGTCAGTATGTCTTTAATGGTATCTGCTTTGACCATTTGAAGAAAACTGCCAGCCTCACACTTAAGGGAAAGTTGAATATCATTTGTAGTCCCTGGGCAAATGGTCACTCCATTAAAGTCTTGAAAAATGTAGCCACCTGTCAACTGGTTTCCTACAATCCGAACTGTTTGATTGTCAACGAGCACACCGATTTCGCGTCTTCCACTGAACTCTGGTCCCACCGAGACAGCCCCAGTTTGAGAGCCTGTGTAATAACTGGCCATGTAATCTTTTGATACTGCATACGAGCCTCCTCCAATAGCAGGAAATACCCCAGTTAATTTGACATTCGGTACTTGCAACTCCGAAAGTGTACTAGAGTAGGTGAATGAAGGACTCCCACTGTATCCATAAGTCATGTTACCATACAGTATCTGCTTGTATCCTGGACTCTTCAAAGATAACTTGGAACCAGCTTGACTAAAAATAGTAGTGTCGGTCATGAGTCGAATGGCAGTCGTATCTACCTCCCCTAAGACGTCTGTTAGTTCAGTTAGAGATGAGAAGCTGAAATCGAGCCAACTGCTTCCGATATCAAGAATGGAGTCGGCCCCTGAAGAGGTCTTTATTGCCCCAAAGGCCTTGAACAGTTGACTAGTATTAGTTTCCAATTCGTCTTCATTGTTCACCTTTAGACTTTTGTGGAGTTTGATTCCAAGGCCATTATCCCGATACAATGGTTTCTTGAGTGTTTCTAAAGGCGGAGGTGGTGGAAAGTTTACGGATAGGCCATTTTCAGTAATGGATAATGACTCATCCACTCGAATACCAACCGTCCGTGATTCACCATCACGGTACATTGGGAACTCATAATTTTCGGGAATCACTTTCAGTTTTTCTTCTTCTACAGATAAAGATGAATCATCAAACTGAAGTTGGATATCATGATCCTCTTTCGAGTAGACAAGAGGTTGATGCGCAGATATGTCAATTGTGGTTAAATGACTCGCCTCATCAACCTCAAGTCTCTCGTTGTCGTAAAGTAATTCGATACTTACAACACTGTTTTCGTTATTGGAAGATAAGCATTCAGAGGTGGTTACAACCTCGTTGACTTTGAGTTCACCATTTTCATTTGATACCTTTTTGAATTCCCCAACGGAAAAATTCTTTATCTTTGATCCTTCATCAAATCCAGTCATCTCTCCTGTCACATATGGTTGAACTAGGTTTGTACTATCAATGGTGCGCAACCCAGATGCATTCCTAGTGTTTATTCCACTCATGGTTATATTGTAGCTAGGAAGTAAAATTTGAGGAGCTTGGCAAAAGACGAAGCACTCAACGGTGCCCATCTTATCGATAAGATGGGGCAATAAAACCTTATGCTATCCTCTGTTTCTTCCTCGGTGGAAGTGTGACATCCTCTGCACCTTTTCTTCTTCTACTTCGAACCGTAGGTTCCACATGCAGTGTCGATTGTGTTTGTGCAGGGACAACATATTCCACTTCACGTTGTCCTCTTAGATGAGTGAGAGGACATACTTCGCTTCCCAAGTCTGCGGTTAGTGGAACTAACATTGGAGGATTGACAGCAACATTCGGAGGTGCTGGTGCAAAATTGACTTTTCTCCTATTTTTGGCTCGTATATGTTTTTCAACTTCTTCAGGGGATGTTAATCTAATTTCCTCTACTTCCTCTCGTTCGGGTATAGAAGAATCTATTCTTTGTCTTTTTACCGTGGTCTGCTTATCATCTGGTTGTTTGTACTGTCTTCTTTTAGTTCCATGAGGAGCAACTCCAGCAAAAATCACAACAGGTGATGGGGTTGCTGGTGGAGTTATCGCATCTACAACATCATGCTCTGCTCCTCCTGTTTTTTGCTTCTTTTTATTCAATCGAGGAATTGGCGGGGGTGCATTTGCTTTCCTTTTGGAACCTGCTAATATGGTTGCTTCCTTACCTTTGAAGTGAAATGGTGTTCTCACAGGTACCGGGACAAATTTTTCATTGATGGAGTTTCTCTCTAAAACATCTGCTACACCAGACGGATCATGGCGGTCATTCAGGAGTACTGTATCATGTGGAATTGGTGCGGTGCTACGAGGCATTGTTTCCATGGAGGCATCGATTTGAGGAGATTCCACATGAACCTCTGGAGTCAAGCCAGGGAAACTGCCTGGAATCAGTGGAATATAAGCATCGGCCATTGTCATCGCATCCAATGGAACAGCAGCGCCAGTCCCATGATTGACATGGTCATTTCCAACTGCATCTCGTCTAATTTCCATCTCCCTTGTTAGAATTACAGGTTCTAGGGGAGTAGAATTTACATTACATGACTGTGCTGGAATCTCATTTCCATTAGGTGGTGCTTCAAACATTAAGCCCATTTGGGAAGTCACTGATGTGGGATAGGAAAACACATGCCCAGATTCATCAGGAATTGGTAATCCTGAAAGGGAATTTTGTGTTCCAACAGTTAGAGCATTCCCTCAACGACTTGGTGTAATAGAATCAAGATACTTCTGTTTCTTCCTGTAATCTTCCTCTGCTTTAACATATTCAAGACTGTCCTTGTAAGCCTTTGTAGTTCGTTGGGCAGCCGATAATTTCAGAACATCAGAAGATGAGAGCCTCGGTTCATATTTCGGTGCTGCATAGTTCGTCCTTGTTGCTAGGTCTTTCTCATGGACATTGCAGTTCCACAAATAGACAACTTGTGGTCGTCCGAGGATATCAACCTTTGAATAGTCTAGTGTGACACCCACTTGACGTTTTTGCAGATTTGGAATCGGTGGTGAAATAGCATATGTATCACTCAAGTAATTGGCTCGGTAATATGCCATACTAGTTTTTTCCTTTGCTATGTAGAGCTGAAAAAATAATATCTCTTCTGTTCTATAAATCAAGATGCCTAATTGGTTTTCTAAAGCGAAGGCAAAGGCAAATGTTCTGTGGAATAATGCGCCTAACTATGTAGCAAAAGCAAGGAACTTTGCCAATCAAGCAGTCCGGCATGCCACTACATTGAATAAACATGTGCAGCACGTAAATCGCCAAGTACAAGAGTCACCGCTTTTCTCAGCAGGAGTCCGAGAGAAAAGTCAAAAGATTTCTAGTCATGGGGAATCTGGTTTGAAAAAGTTACAAGAACTCCACAAGAACGCTGACGACTTTGTTGAAAAAGTGACTGGTGGGAAAATTGAATGAACATATTTGTTCGCTTCAACAGAATTAAGCTTTACATGAAACAAGGCTCACTCTACATTATTGAGTTTGTATGAACAGCCCTCTTTTTCATTCAATTCGCGTGCCTTCGCATTATAAGCAAGAAGCGCATCTCTTTTCTCTTTAAATCGTCCCAAGTGAATATCTTTTTTATTATACCCAATTCTTGCTGACCATTTATTCCTGCTTTGATCCCAAGAAACACCAACAGTTTCCTTAACTGGCAGGATTGGTGGCATCTCAATTGTCTCATCAACATTGTTTAAGAGGAACTTGCATCCTTCTTTCTCATTCAATTCACGTGCTTTTCGATTGTAAGCCACAGCCGCTTGCTCCTTTGTGTTAAAGGATCCAAGCCATAACTCTGTGTTGTATCCTATTCTGGCTTTCCATTTGTTCCTACTCGGATCCCAACTTACACCCTTGAATCTGCTCGAATTATTCTTATTTTTATTTCTCCACTGGCTATTTTGTTGATGATTGACGATTTCCAGGTTATCAATCTGATTATCATCAGTGATGAGATTGATGTGGTTGATGATCTCATCTGGTTTTAGTTTTATGCCATGATAGGTTTCATAGATGTATCGGTGAAGTGGATAGTTTTTTCCATTTAATGCAAAATGAAGATACCCTTGACTTTTTGCTCCTATGAATTCGCCAGTCTTATTTAGTCCACCCCTCTTCATGTTCATGATAAGTCCTCTTTCTGGATATACATCAAAACCGTCCACAGTTGAAATCACAATTTCAGGCGGATTCATTTTTCTAAGCACTTTTTCTCTTCTTTGAAAAGCAACAGCTTTCTTTTATACAAAATGTACGTTCATCGAATAATTCAAAGAATTACATCATACAACTGTTACCACTGCTCCGATTGAAAGTGTTACATTTTCATGATAACACATTACCATACGCACCTTTTGCGTAGGCGCAACAGCATGTTGCATATGTACTCTTAATAAACTGTCTGTCCCTGTAAAACTCAATGCCGCCTGACTGCCTTCATCCTTGCTGGCAAAACTCCATCCAAATGAAAAGGCTTTTGAATCATAATCTGCGAACGACATATCCATCTCCCCGAGTTGGTCAAAGTTATTGTTACTGAGTTGTGAAACAAGCAAAGTCTGATTGTCAGATGGGCTATGGCTGAACCCTTGCATTCCACTTGGAATGGTAAGATTTGCCCCCAGTTGAATTCGCCACTCGCAAAGCCCTTGTGAAGAATACATTAGCGCCTTATCTTTCGTCTGGTCATTGAGAACATCATCGTCCACAAATGACATTTCGATCCCTTGAAGTGACCTTACACCACTCATATGAAGCAAGAATGTATTCCGGTTTCCACCACTACATGCGTTCTCGGTCTGTGTTGATCTAACATAATCATAGAATATTGGCTTTCCATCACTTATAGCATGTGTGGAGTTAATGACACTGCTTGGTGGTGGTGTCACATATGAAATCAAAGTCCTTATATTCGATACTCTTATCTCTGCAACTCCAGCCGATGTAAAGATGGTTGAAGGATCCGCAAGCGTGATTATGATTTCGAGTGCTTGATTTGGAAGTGCCCAAACAGGGAAGAACTGGTCATTTGTTGGATGAAAGAAACCCACAAAAGGGTGATGGTTGATGGAGATGGTACTCGATGTTGCAAAGATATTGGTGTTTCCATGTCCGGAAAGTTGGCTCAACAATTTCTTACTACCGGCAGATAGATTGTGGTACGTTTGTACTAGATAAAGAGGATAGTTTGGTATGTTGACAACAGTTTCTCCCCCTGCTTTGATGGTCAATGATTGAATAATGGATTCCAAGCCAAGATATGTGTTTTTAACACCTGTACCAGGAGTTATCAGGTTCCCTGCATTATCGTATGCAGAAACATCCATTGACAGAATTAGTTTCTGCAAAATGAAAGAGACCGAATTTGAGTCGCAAGTGATCTTAATCAGAGTCAGGTTTCTTGACTTTGTTGTATATGTACTTTGACCTATCGGAGAATAGATTGACACCCCCTCCCCACGGGGATCTGAGTAACTTTTGGCAAAACTTCCTGTTCTATACAGCCAGTTACATGGTACTGCAACTTCTTCTGACATGTTTGTTTACTGAGTTGCAGGAAAAAAAAAATGGAAGATTTTTAGCCGAAAATGCCACCATAGTTGTCCTCCTCAACATTGTCCTCCTCAAAGAACGGTGATCTAGAGTCAAAGAATGGTTCATCATCACCGAATTTCAAAATTACACTCTTTTTTTTAGATGGGCGTATTGCTGCTGGCTGCGCCTTTGCTGCTGGTTTGGCTCTCTTGCTCCTACTTGTTGTTGGTGTTGGTGTTGGTGTTGCCTTCTTTCCTCGCTTCGCATTTCGTCGTTCTTCCCTTGCCAATCACTTCTGTTCCTTCTCCTCTTCAAGGATGCATTTGGCCTCATCGATTTTACGCTGCTTCTCTTGCTCTTTCCTTTCCTCTTCACGTTTTGCTTGCATTAGACGCAATTGTTCAGCACGTGCTTTTTGCGCCTTCTCCAATGCTGCCCGTTGTTTTTCTGTCATCGGTTGCTTCACCTTTTGCTTTGGAGGCTGTTCTGGTATAATTTCTGCTTTTTGAACAGGTGCTTGTTCAGCGGGTGTTTCTACATTCTCTTGTGGAATGGCACTTGATTCTTGATGATTTTGATTTTGCTCTTCCATTGTTTTCTTACTCTAAGAAAAAAAAAAAAAAAAAAATTACACATCTGCAACATCATCTGTAAATGCAAACCGAAT